TTTAAGAAATATCAAAAGTGATGTTATGGGTTGAGTATTACATAAGCGCTTACAAGTATGCTATGCAGGGATTTGGTATGACTCCTGACGTTCAGATGGCATCGAAATTCTGAAAACTATTGTGATCAGGTGGTGACAAAATGTAAGAAACTATTAATATTAAGGGAAGCAATTGATAATTGTTATATTGGGGAGCCAACCATTATCAATAATTAATATGACCTTTAAGTAAGGGTGATGACCTATGATATGATACGACATGAAAATAGTTGAGTCATATGCATTTATAATTGACATTGTTATGCTATGGTGACATTGCTATGATTTATTACTATGTACAAGCTAATGATTACATGCTTATAACTATACATGTTTTATATAGCAGTCATGGTTTTCTATGCTACCTACTTTTTTCATGTTATATATGATTACAGCACATTGTGACTTGTGAGTAGACATATATAGTTTTATATGAGCATACATGTTTCTTTTCCGTATATAAAATAATAGTTTAACATTGATTATTTTGCTGAATTCGTTGTTCTCACTCTATCTTTGTCTTTCAAGAAAGAAAAATGATCACCAAGTTGAGTAGCTATGTGTGATTTGTATAGCTTTTGCATTGTATAGTTCTAAGAGCTTTACAGCTTTTGATTATGTATTTTTATTATGTTGAATTTAACAGCTCTATATAGATACATACTTTGATGATAAGATTTTATATACTTCCGAGTATGAATATGAATGAATTATGAAATGCAATGTGTTACGTCTAAATTTCGAGAAATCAAGTTCGACAAATTCTAAAAATACCACAAATTTCGCACATCTTAGAATTTGCTTGAAGATTATAAAATTCTACACATAAAATCGAGCAAATTGATATAAAGTACAATATATGAATTAAAAATGGAGTGATAACTATAAAATATTGAAGTTATAAGAATAATTACCTTAAATAAACCTTAACTGCCCAAATTAATTTTAATCCTAAACCTTAGCTATTGTGGCTAACCGACCTATCAAGCGATAAGTATCACTAGTGTCGGTTGAAAGGCTTCCAGAGTTTCAAAATCCTCCCCTTTCTCCCGATTTTCTCTCACAGTTCTCCCTCTCCCTCACAGCAGCTCTCGAGAGTGGCTCGGCTGAAAATTGCGACCCTTGCTACAATGCAAGAGGCACGAACAAGCGACCGAGCAGCGCAGAGGGCAGTCGCAGCCTGCAATTTGAAGCTTTGGGGTGAAATCTAAGGGTAAGAGTCCCTCTCACATCAACTGATACTTTCATTTCTTTCCTCACACTTCCGTTTTGACTTTTGCTTCGTTTTTCATGCAAATAGCATTTCTAGTAGCCTTCGAGGCGTCGATTATGTCGGAAGCGTCGAAAGTCTTCTGTGAGCTTCCGTAAAAGTTCCAGCACAAATCAGCATAAAGGTGTGGTTGGAGGTGATAAAAAAGAAAATTAGGCGATTTCAGACGGATTTGTTATGCCGAGAAGTCTATTTGAGGTATGTTTTAGCATTTAATGCTTATTTTTGGGTTAATGCATGTTTTGAGTCAAAGTTTTATGAAATCGTATGTTGTCTACAAGCCCTAGGGCATCTATATGAAGCGACAAGCTCGAGACGAGCATGTGTGCACTCGTCGTAGGGTTGTTTCGTCAAGTTAGATGAAATAATCTCGTACAAATTTAAGAAAAATAATATTCTATTAATTTTCATCTTATTTTTATTTTGACACGAAAGCATTTAGAACTTCCTGCATATTATAAATGGATACATGCAATTGGAAGTATGAATGCAGGTTTAATACTGTTATGTAATTCTATAACATAAGTTCATAGGGTCTCATAATGCCCACAGAATTTTCTTACAATATATGTAATTCTAAGATCAGGCTAGGTTTACTTTTCTTACAATATATGTAATTCTAAGATCAGGCTATGGTACATATGACTATGCATATAATATCAATTTTTTGCATGTATTCATTGGTTCTGCTTCATGTATATATCTATAATATAAGTAATGTTTGATAAATGCTTGATGTAAGAGTGATAATTTAGATGTCACGAGTAATGCTATGAGTAGACAATTAAATGAGTGTTTGCAAGTACATTATACAGAAATGTAATATTCCCGACTCTTGATATTATACGGGGACAAAACTATGAGAATCATTGGGATTAGGCGGTAATAGAACGTTAGAGAACTATGGGCATTATGAGACTCGATAACTGCTATTTTGGGGGAAGCCCAACATTTATCAATAGTTTATATGGCTTTTGGGGTAGGGTGACGACCTATGATGAAAAGACATAAAAATAGGTGAACCCTGTACATTAAACAAGTAATATTATTATGATATGACATTTATGAAATGACATTGCTATGATATATTATAAATATGCTTATGAGCATATTTTTTATTATATTTATAATTTCATGCTTACGACCTACATGTTACACTGCAGTCCTGATTTCTGTACCTGCTCTTTTTTTCATGTACTATATTATAATAGTATGATTTGTGTGTAGAAATGTATAATTTTATACAAGTATGCACATTATTTTTTTTTCATGTATAAAATCTTATATTAGCCCTGATTATTTCTCTGAATATATTGTTGTCCATTCTTCATTGTTACCTTCCAAGTAGGGGCAAAGAGCACCGGGGCGAGTAGTCAGGTGTGTCTCTGTACAACTTTTGCACGATAGTTTTGGAAGCTTTGTACATATGTTTTGGGTACATATTTTTACTATATTGAATTTAGCAACTCTGTGTGATTTTTATATTTTATATCATCTGATTTTCATGCTTCTGAGTATGTATGTGAATGAATTATAAAATGTAATGTATCATGTATATTGCGGCAATCTAGTTAAACTAATTCATAACTTATTGGATCATGATTATACAAGTCAGGACGAGTGTTGGTAAGAATTAATTTGATCAAATTGTCAGCCTTTGTTACACCATGAGTGACCCTATCAAGGGGTTAGTTGGGGTGTGACACAATGTATCACGAATATTTATGGCAATTTAGTAAGACTAGTTCATCAACCACTGGGTCTTAATTCTGCAAATCATGACCAGTGTTGGTAAGAATTTAGTCTGATTGAAATTTTCGCCTCTGTCACACCTCAGCCTGCCCTTCAAAGGTGGGGCCAATTGAGGTGAATAGCAAGGGCCACACGCGACCGACACGATCTAGGTGGGAGAGATTCGAGTGATCCTTCATTGCACATGGTTCCCTCCTATTTGGAGTGGGGTTCACTCCTCTTTACCTTAAGACTATATATATGTTATTTGTTGTGTTTAGGTAAAGCTTATGCTTCAGATTTCTGTTGTCAGCATCTTTCTCCCCTATTAGGGTTGTATCTGATGATAGGTAGTGCTCAGGTTGTATGCTGCTCCAATGTGGTGATTATTTCAATTAGTATAAAAAATATTATTAATATTTAGTTATGCGTTCAATTTAACATAAAAATTCTACCAAAAACAAACCCTCACCTTCCTTTATAAGCTCGGTTCAGCCTATATCAATCTGCTCAAAAATTACATTCATGTTATTTGGCTCGACTAGATCGTCCCCGCAAACAAAGCCCTCTTCTCATATCTTCGCACAAGAGCTGCATGAGACTCCGCCTCTCTTCCCTTTGCACACAAGTCTCTCTTCTTCATGGAAAACCCTACCACTCAACTTGGCTTCAGCTCCTGAGCGCAATCGCCTCTCCCGAGACCGGCGGCTCATAGTATGTAACATGCACAACTACACCGCTTCATTCGACAACTCTAGCACACGAGACCACTCAGTATCCCGCACACGATACCCCTATTTCTCTTCCTCACCACGCACAATGGCTCCCAACTCCTTCCCGCAACGAGACACTTGCAAGCGACGCCACACTCACACTCTGCTTCCTTGCATGTGTCAATGTCCACTGCTTACAATATCCTTCCCACACACAATTGATCCTCACTTGAACAGATTAAGCCCTCAATCCTCCCTCACCTTCGACTCTTGTTATTGCTTCTAATTTCCTTTGGTTTGGGAGAGAGAGACGTTTGTCTCCCAAGTAAACTATCGGGACAGTTATTCCGAACCAACCTAAAAATTAAAATTTTTTTTTTCAATACAATATTACATACATTCTAAAGAAATAATAAATAATCAAATTACCCATGATAATTAAAATAGACTACAAATAAAAAAGTAATAAAAATTGAAATATAATAATAACTCAACCAAATAACTAAAACATGACACATTCCATGTTCTTCCTGCATTACTCTTCTAAAACCCTAGAAAGCAAGAAAGAACTCCGCATAGAAAACTAAAAGAGGAGGAAGTATTTTGCGTTCATAACCAGGGGAGATCAAAGTATGCCGCTTGAATCAACAGAGAAAGAAACAATGAAACATCGATGGCTTCATCAAATAAATCATTCCTCAATCAAAGAGTTATTTTTACACAGGCCATTGGATCTCTATTTAAAGAAGATCCTGCATGGTAAGACCAATAATTAACGTATCCTAACCAAAGACAAAAGAGCCTATTGCTCATGGATATTAAGAAAAACCTAAACTAAAATAATAATAATAATATTAATAATAATAATACTAAAAATAATAATATAATGAAAATTTAACGAAAATACTATGACATGACATGCATATTGGAGCAATCAAGTAATTTTTTCCATAAGTTGCATGAACCTAGAAGGTTAGAATTGCAACAAAGACAAAAGTAGTTGTGCGGAAATGAATCTTTGTAGTAATATTATTCCGCTTTGCAATATTTGGAAAAAAAACAAGAGAAAAGAAACATGGGGAGAAGCTGACAACTAGAGAATCTGTTCCTGTACTCAGAAGATGATTACAAAAATAACATACCCATGCTACAGGATGAATCTCGCAATCTAAGAAATTAAATATCTAACAATGTACACAAAATTTTTATTTTAAAATTTCCAAAATTAAATGAATAAATATGCAAACCTGTAAAGATTTGTCAGTTAGCACATCACAATATGTCTCGAGTAAGAAAGCTAATGATTTCTGTGGTTTTGACAGAACCTCACATGCCTGCTAGAAGAAATTACCGATAAGCTAACACTGATTATAAATAAATTGCATAGTTTCTAAACAAGGTCAAATTATCTAAAAAGAGCATATGGACGAATAGAAAATAGTGAAGGATCTTGTGCACAGTTTCATATAATATATTAGAATCTGCTTGCACAGTTTCATATTGAACCTTACTAAAATAAACTGTAAACCTATGTTATCGCATAAACCTGTATGGAACAATTATCCAGCTGCATATTTTCCCACGTCAAGAGATACAAGTCAAATATCAGTGGCCGGTTGTGATGTCCAAATGTGGATGCAAATGACATTAAAACAGTGCGCAATTTATATATTAGCAAAGGGCAATTGTGCATAGCATAACGCCCATAGCGCCTACAATTTTTATTGCTCAGATTTAATATTCAAAATTAATATTAAAATTGATTCATTTACTTTTTTATTAGTTATAGTTTCTTTCTATTATACGTCTTTTGAGTTGCTTCAAGAGCTCTCAAGCACGCCTCTTATGCATTGAGTAGTCTTCCATGTATGGACTCATTTTCACTTATCATATAAGAAATTTAATCGTAGCATATGAGCAGAAACTCATATTTATGATTAATGCCTAAAAAATGAATTGAAGAACTTTAAAGATCCCATGACTGACAATTGACTCAATGAAAAACTAAAAGGGAATAAATTGACACAACATGAGCTAGAGCATAAATATGTGTAATACAGATGAGCTTTTATAGGCTTCAGCTTTCCCTTGCATACATGAGAATTGCATTTAATCTATAAACAACCAAAATCCAAGCCCTAGAAACAACAACAAGCCTTTATCCCACTAATATGAATCATTTTTGTCCATTGCGTCCTACTGAATGGCATATTTTCGTTGAATTCTAATAAATTAAGATCATTTTTATACAATATGCCCAAGTTTTTCAATGTCTACCCCTGCCTTTCTTAACATAAGTCGAATCTAAAACATCTACACTCCTAACCGTATCATCAGATGGTCGACGTTTGTTGCTTGAAATCCAAGACCTAGAACCACATTAATTAATTATGAAATTTTATGGCAGTCGGAGAAAGTTATTGCTGCTTCAAAATCACATTATTAAGCTTTATGGCATGAACCAACTATAGTTGCAACTAATCCAAACTTTTAAATATTCACATAAAATAAGGAAAATTTTCCAAAAGCCAAAAAGTAAGACTTTAGGTGACAGGGAAAATCAAATGCATCTTTCATGGGTTGCAAATGCTACACGTTAATTTCCAAAAGCCAAAAAGTAAGAATGCATCTTTCATGGGTTGCAAATGCTACACGTTACATCATGAGATATCTTCTTCTGAAGTAGAATAAAAGTAATATTATTTGTGAAATGAAATAAAGATGAAAGACAATGCAATAAAGTAATAAATTGGAGCATGATTAGAGAAATAATGATCACCTTTGATGTATCAAACATGTTCACAACATATATATGGAAGTCCCTCTGAAGCCAGAGGACGTCACTATCAGCACCATGGAATACCTACAGAATAAACAATTTCCTCACATTCCAAAAATATATTTTAAAATAAGATGAAGCATGGTTGTAATAAATTTAAAAAAGGGGATTAAATACACGGCACCAAAAACATTGCTATTTACAAATCAACCCTTTTTCATCCATTTTTCAAATTCTCACTCAAATATCAAAGGTCATGATACAACCCCAACCCACATTTTATTTTTATCAAATTCACAATGATTTGATCATGGCACGCATAAATGCATCCATTCATCGTTTAAAAAATCACCTAGATGCCTGATTTGTAAATAGCAATGTTTCTTGTGCTCTGTATGTAATTATTTCCTTAAAAAAAAAAGCATGCTGCTATGCAAATTAAAGCACAAAGATCGAAATGCTAGTTAAATTTTTATGCCAATCATTTCTTAACTATGACAAGCAAAAACTTGTTGAGTCGTTTGCAATTATCTGCTGTATCGGAAAATCTAAGAATATGAGCACAATGAATGGAAAGAAAATGGTATTCTTACAAATTACAGGCGTGCAGAGCAGCAGAGAAATAGGATAAAATATGCAGAAGGGATATGCAATGAATGTTTGGTAAAAGTTTCTGCAATAATTTAAAAAGTTTAAAAAAGTATGCAAGACAAAAAACTTACATTCATGGACATGTAGGTATACTCATGCACGTACATATTTACCATAAATGCGTGAAAGATGCATGAAGGAATAATGATCATTCTATAACACTATGTATGACATACAATTTTGATTTGTCTCAAATCCAAACATATTTAACATCTATCTTTGAATTTTTTAAAAGTTGGGTTCCCCATTTGGCGAATCCAATACAGTATTCAACTTTTGCTTTTGAAATATCCAACACCAAGTCCATGGATTAATTTAATATAAATAATCTGAGAAACCTAAGAGATGCAGATATGAATCTGAGACCCATCCAATGTAGGTTTTACTTCATCGCGACGAAGTTCAGCTTCTTACCAACATTTTACAAAAGGAATGTTTCCTAAATTGACCAAATTACCATGATTTAGAGTCAATAAGAAGGTTCAGATGACCCCGAACAACCAGCGTCAGAGAATAGCTTCAACTCTTCCCTTTATGAATATCCCAACCAGTTAATGGTAAAAGCCTATCGGTCTTCTAAAGATAAAATTCGGAGTGTGAAACATGATTAAACATGCCACAGAACAATATAAAGCATTAAATGAGACGCATAATATAAGTATATGGTATTGAAGCATAACAATTCCATTGGGATATTTCCTACATAAAAATAAGAGAATTTTTGAAGTGCGAAAAAATAGAAGGAAAAATGGGTAAAGAAGTTGCCAAGAACAAGACTAAATTAAGCTAGCATCCCCTCTTAAAACCATAAAGTAAATAAATTTTATACTATGTAGTCGAGATAGGCGTGGGGGTATAAATGGGTCGAGTTGGTTTGGTTCTTGTTCAAAACAGAACCTGGCCAACTCATACTGTTTCAGAAACCTTCGCCTCAATTTGATTTAGATTTACCACAAACTGAAAGATAACATTAAAATGCAGGAATTATCAGGTTTAAGGCTTAATTGGTCAATTAATAGATGGTCTAAACTAATCACACATTAATGCTCATAAATGAATAATGCTTTCTTTATCAATCTGTTAAAAATATCAATATATAAAAGAAAGAACTGTCTCTTCTTTTTTTTTTTTTTTTCAAATTAACTTAAAAAAAAATATCTAGTTCTTTTAAGGATCTAGTTGGTGAGATGAAACTTTTGAAAACAAAAATTGACTAAAAATAAGAGCTTTTGAAAAACACGGAACCAAGTTTAACCTACGGTTTCCATAAAGTTGGGCTGAATTGACTGGTTTATTGTGGATCGAAGTTACACCAAGAAGCGGAGATGAGAATAGTTCCTTGAGCTCGCATTCAAGCCATGACAGATTAATTTAATTCGAGACTTAGAAATTGTTTTTTATAAGAGTGCTAAATCCGTGCATGTCTTCCTCCAATGGAGCTTCAGGGACTGAAAATTAGTTACAATGCCCAGCAAGCATATAAATCAGATGAGTAAAAAAGATTTTAGCTTGCATGATAGAGAAATTTTGGCAAAAGTGTGCTTCTCAACACAAAAGGATGGACTTTGTCATTCCATTCTAACAGTGAATCCAACTAACGGAATAAATATAGATGGGAATATATTTATATTTAACAAAGTGATATTGAAATACTTAAACTATCCATAATTAGAAAAAAAAAACAGATGCCTGATGAAAAATAAAACAAAATAAAATCATCAACAATGGCCAGTGCCTAATGCTGTCACAAAAAAATGTTTTCTACAAACAAAAAACACACGGATCTTTATTATATGAATGAGTCTGCATTTGAAATATATTCAGCACTTTTCATCAGAAGAAATACAGAGAAAATAGAAAAATAAAAAATAAAAAATAAAAAAACTGAATCATCACACTGGCAAAAACAAACTCAAAATCTAATTCCTGTAAATTGAAAAACTAATTTATCTACCATTTTTAAGTCAATCAAAAAAATAATGTGGTTCTCTACCTTGCAAATAGAGGGGTCTGCAAAAACAGGCCGCAAAATGCCCATATCATCATGCAAAGCGATAGTATCCACCAAAAAATCTTCCTTCTGAGTAGAAATCTGTTCAAACATACAATATTCAAAAGCTTAAGGTATGCATAAGGTTTTAGTGTTACAAATAAAAATATGTTTTTTAGAGCTTGCCTGCATTAGAGCAGTAAATCCAAGGAATGACCGGAGACTATGCTGTTCTGTATCAACGGCAAAAACCTTTTCCTTACTTAGTGTCTCGGCAAGAGACTCTAGTTGATGCTTTGTCCTTATCCATAAATAAGAATTGCCCATGTCCGAATTTAGATGATTAGTAAACAGCTTCACTAACAGTGGGGGGTGCTCCAGCAAAAAGTTGATCTCTTCTTCATATGGATGCATTTTCAAAGAGATTTCTGGTTGGAAATCAAGAACTAAAATGTTTTCATATAGGTAATAACAATTTATGGTTAATAGCTGGAGTTTTAAAGAAGTAAAATAGCAAAGTTCCAGAAACTTTCATACAAGGTGAAACTTTGACAAGCTGGACTAGTTATGTGCTTGCAAAATAACATGGAAGCTAATTTGTTTGTGAACCATGAAATGCAGTCAGGTAGACCAAAAAACTTACAAACTCATCCCATAAGATTTTCAGGTTAGCATTTAACAACCAACAAATCATCACCATCAGAGGATGCCATCTATCTCTGCAACTATAATGGAATTACGGATTTACGATCATATGTTCAAATAAGACACTAAGAATACGCTACAGAATAACGAGGACACTACTACGAATTTTTTTAATTTGTCCTGCATCTTTTATCTATTTTTTTGGTAATCATGTCTAAACTAAGAAATATGAAGCTTTTATGTTGCATTAATAATTTACATCATGGATGCCAAAAGATAAGCTCGTTGCTATTTTTAATCATAACAGCAATTTTAGCCAATGAACTAACCTACACAATATAGAAGTCTGGCATCAGGACCGATGCAAGTAGAAAGTGTCAATAACTATAACAACAGAAACTACATAAGTAGAAAGGAATGTTATAAGAGAATGAAAAGACTACAGGGTGAAAAAGCATAAGCAAATAGCAACCCTTTCAAATCTTAGGACAATGAACATTGCAATTTCATTGAATAATTAAGCATCACCCACACACAAATCAGATGTACTTGAATATAGTAAAAACAATTAATGTGCAACAATAGTTGGCTACATGAATCCTTTTTCATCATTGTGTTCTATTGAGTGTCATATTTTCATTAAATTCTAATAAATTAAGATCATTTTTTACTTTTTTTGTTCTACCTCTACCTTTCTTAACAAAAGTTGAATCTAAACCATCTACTCACGCAGGAGCGACCAAGGAGACTTTTTACGATCGTTGCTACAGTATTGTTGCAGTATTCAAGGGAGCGAGAGCAGCTTGGGCCGATCAACCGATCCTTTAAGTGGAATTCCCTACTATTGAAAGTGGGGTCCACTCTTATTTACCCTAAGTCTATAACTATGTAATTTTTGTGTTTTTAATTAGTTTTTCGTGTGTTTTGTTCAGGACAGTTGTTGCTATCCATTCTTCTTCCTTCGAGGGTTGTATATGACAGATTAGGTGGTGCTCTGGTTGTATCTCTCTCCCGAGATAGTGACTTTCTTATCCTATCCCCTCCCACATCTTCCCACATAGCTCCTGGCCTCTCCATCCATGTTGTAGGCGCCCAAAACAGTTGTTCTGTTGTTTCTTCCTGAATTTTTCTATCTTCAAGCCGCCGCCAACCGCTTTACTGCTTGTTGTCGTAATCCCGGACAACAAGAAGTTATTGTCCCTGCATTTTCCTGCCTTCCCCGCCACCGTGCATCCCCTTCCAACGTGTCGCCGCCTCCAGAACCTACGCCCTACCCCTTTCCACGTGTTGCCACCTTCCATAATTTGCCTCCCTTGCTGTCACAACCACTCTAGCCACCCTCTGCCACTACCTGGCTGCTTCCCAACTGTTCCTTGTGCTGTCCTCGCTGTTCCATCTGCCCAAATCCATCCCCCGTGCCTCCTTGTTGTTGTTCCAGCCCCCTACAGGCCTTGCTGCAACCCATCCACCTTCTAGAAACCTTAGCTGTTAAATCTACCACCTTCCAACACCCCAACCTACCCATTCCAACCCACCATGTCGACTCAATCACCCTTGGTAACATTTTAGTTGTATTTGTTTGTCTTTGTTGTTGCAATACCCTCATAGACTTTGCAATAATCATATTTTGTTTTTCTATCATAGTTCGGGTTATTTCTGGTATCATCTACTCTTCTAACTGGATCATCATATGGTTAACTTTTAATGTGACCAAACCGTCTAAGACAACCCTCTCCAATCTTCTCAGCCAAAAAACTAAAAAAAAGCCTTTCACGGATACATTTGTTTCACATTTTGTTTCAAGTGTAAATCCACTCATCCATCTAAGCATTCTCATCTCATCAACACTTAACTTAGTTTTATGCTTCTCTTCTAGATACCAACAATTTGAGCCATAAAGCATTGCAGGTCTCACCACCATTTTATAAAATTTTCTTTAAGCGATACCTTTCTATCACACAATAGGCACAACTCATTCCTCAACTTAGACCCATCTATATCACCATCATTTTGAACAATAGACCCGAGATATCTAAAAAGTTCACTCCTTTTAATAATTTGATCACTCATTGTTACAACTCCGTCACTGGATCTACTACTATTAAAATTACATTTTGTGAATTCAGTTTTAGATCTACTCAAACTAAGGCCTTTAGACTCTAAATTTGACCTTCATAATTCAAGTTTTTCCTGAACGCTTTCTTTAGCCTTGTCCACAAGAATGATATAAACAGCAAAGATAACACACCAAGGTATATCCTCCTGTAAATGTCTAGTAAGAGCATTCATAACTAAAGCAAAAGATATTGGCTTAAAGTTGATTCCTGATGTAATCCAACTTAAATAGGAAAATACTTGGCCAATCATCTTTTTGTGTGAACACAAGTAGCAACTGTAGTATACATATATTTAATGACTTCAATATATGTCATATCAGCACATTTTTTTTCTAGAACTCTCCAAAGAACTTTTCTTAGAACCTTATCATATGTTTTTTTTCTAAATCAACAAAAATCATATATAAATCATCCTTAACTATATTTGTACTTCTCCTTCAAACTTGTCAATAACTGTATAGCTTCCATAGTAAGTAGCTTTGCCCGACATAAATCCAATGAGAAATCTTTGTATTACGCCTTACCTATGATCAATTACTTTCTCGTAATTTTAATTTATGGCATTAACTTAATTCTTCTATAATTTGCACACTTGTGTGCATCCTCTTTATTATAAAAATAGGGACAAAAATACTCTTCCTTCACTCCTGAGGAATCTTATTAGTTTTTAAAATAATATTAAAAAGTTTAGTAAGTCAATCCTCCTTTTGTTTGAACACAAGTAACAGCTCTAGTACACATATCTTTAATGAACTGACTATATATCATATCAGCAACTTTCTATTCTAGAACTCTCCAAAGAACCCTCTTGGAACCAATATTTTAGAAGGCATGGGTGTTGGGCAAGGCGTTTTAGTTGTTATGGGCGTAAACCCCACAGTAAAAGAAAAAAATAAAAAATATAAATATTAAGAGAAAAAATAAACTATTTATGCATAACAAAAAAAATTACACACAAACAAAACAAGTCTTCTAGGAGTAGAATCTTCAAAATATTAGCAAAAATTCATCATAAAAAGTAGAACGTATAAAAATAAGTAAACATGTTTGAGTCAAAAAAAATAAATTTATGATCATTTGATCTCATTATTCATTCTTCAAATTCATCATCAAATATTCTTCTTCTTCACCAATAGTTGTGTCTAAATCACAACTATGTCTTTCATATTTTCTGCATTCATTGTTCACTTCATTGAAGTCATCAGCATGCTCAATCCTAGGTGCATGCATAATTTGTTTCTCCTTCTCAATTTTGCCTAAATTACAAACAAAATAAAATGACATTCGTAAACATTTAGAATCTTCTTTCTATGAGAAATTAAGAATGCATATTTATGTAAAGAAAAATTAAATTTAAATATGAAACATGTTCTTTCATACATTTTCATTTTCCTGTGTAAATACGCTATTAAATGTCATTTCTTCCTTGTGTAATATTTTGTTATTCTTCATTTGCATTTGTTGTAGGTCATTTCTACTTACATCAACATCAAATATTTAGTTGTCTTCATTCATCCAAGAAGGTTCCTGTGGAAGCACTGGAACTTCTTCCTCAACAATTCACAAATCAACAGATTCTATGTCATTTATCAATATTGGATCAAAGTCTTGTTTTCTTCTTATACTTCTCCCTCAATATAGTATTATATCTTACATATATCAGAGCATTCAACCTCTTGTGCTACAACTTGTTCCTTTTTTTAGTATGAATCTAAGATAAAAAAATATTATTTTTAAAAGGTGATTATAAAAGCAAATACTAATAATTTTAACTATCAAGAACTAAAGAACTAAAAAAATTTTCTTTCACAACCTGATGAACTGCATGTGAGGCTAAGAACACGAAAAGCAAAATTCATTAACTCAGGTGTTTTCCCACCAAATCTCATCCACCAATTAGCAGGAGATCTCAACTTTCTTGACTCCATGGTAACTCTACTCCCAAAGTCTCCTCATAAATTATCATACAAGTCTAGTAGAATATCAATTCTAAGATGATCTTCAGAATCCAACATTCTTTGCATACAAGCAATTAACCCTTCTTTTACCACATCATCGTTAGAAAAATTTCCCTCGAAGAGAATTTAAGGGTTTAAATAATAATCAGTTGCATGTAGTGGTCTACGAAGTTATACTTCCCACCTTACATCAATTTGCCTCCAATTAAGTCCATACTTCTTTTAATGATGCCCACAATTAAAAGAATTTTTTTCTTTTGTTGAATCCATTAACTCATAATATAACCCATGGCAGGCCTTTCTTCTAAGTCAACCTCTCTTAGAACATTTACAAGTAGCACAACACTTTTGAAACAAAAGCAAGATGACCCAAAAAATATGGACAAACAAAATAACAGCTCGAGCTTTTATACCTTCCGTATTCTTTATCATTTGATAAAAACACCAAGCTTCTGATGAAAAAATTGTCTGAAGTGGTTGTTTCTGCTTGTAAATGCTTTGAAGGCCAAATATGTCGTAGCAAACCGTGTGATGGTTGGACGAATAGTTTCATCTCCTTTCTAAAAGATCTCATCAAACCAAGAACTCATATGTGCCCATAAATGAATTTAAGAACTTGTTTTGTATTTGCAAATGTGTTTTCATTAATCTCCAACTTTCCAATAGCTTCTAATATTAGTTCAATATAATGTGTTGCACATAGTGTCC